GTGACTGGGATATTTCACTCAGCATAATGTTCTCCAGAGTCAACCATTTTGAATAATATTGCATGAGTTCCTTGTTTTTTAATGCAGCATAGTATTCCAACCTTTTCAATCTGTATATAGAACAGATCATTTGAGAGGTTGGGCTTTATGAGGAGATTTGGCACCAGAAATGGAGGTGAGTTTTTGTTTGGTGTTTTGTTTTGTTTTTTTAATCCCTAGTCATTGTCCAGCTTTCTGATGCATAGCAAGTAATTACAAAGACCATGGTCTGGATCAGGTGCACCTTAGTCTTCAGATTGACATCATTGTTCTTCAGTATGCTGGAGAGGTTCCTGACAGCAGACTTTGCAAATGCAATTCATCTTTTGATTTATAAAGTATAAGAATTTATTTTTTAAGCAAATATTTATATACCATCCATGATCTTAAGTGCTAGGAATACCAAGATAATTAGGAACTGGAGATTTCCCATTAGAAACCCAGTCTTATGAAGGAGACATATAAAAGTTAAAAGACATATAAAAGTTAACAAAAGTTAAAATAGAATTTTATAAGTGTGATGATAAAAATTTACACAAGATACTCAAGAAGGTTAGATTGAGAACAGCTGAGAGATTTTAGGAACTTGTGTTGGAAATAGTTTTTAGGTTACAAGAATGAACATAATAGAGAGACAGGAAAATACTTCTGTTGGCAGAGTGAAATAGTAGTTTACTTGTTCCTTCAATGAATGTTTGAGAGTAACCATCTGCCAAGCAGAATTCTAGTGCTGGGATACAACAATTAAATAAAACAAAGCAAAGTGCAGGGATAAGGCCCATTCTGTCAGAGCTCACCCTCATAGAGAGGGGGCTAGCAGTCACGGAAATTGTGAGTAAGCATGCTAATTTCTGAATGTCTCTATTGTTTTTGTTGTTTCTATAAAGAACATACACATGGCAGTGTGAGGTGACTTAGGACTTCAGGGAAGGCCTCACTGAGAAGGGAACTTTGAATGGAGATTCCAATGTTACAGAGGGATCATGGTTGTATCCAGGAGCAAAGGCATCGGGGATGGCGGTGGGCATACCCTGTCGGAGGGATGGAAAGTGGTTCTGACTGGCACGCTCTGAAGAAGGGGAGACATGGGAGAGACGGAAGTTGAGAATGTGTGAGAGGACATGATACATTGAGGAAATGATGGCCACGTGTTCTAGTGTGTAAAAGGGAGAGTAGCAGTGGGATCACAAATCCCCAGAGAGAGAAGGAAGACGGGAGGGAGAGACAGAGGAAGGGAAAAGGAGATGGAAGGCGGGAGAAGCTCAAAGGGGGACAAGTGGATGGGGAGGGCAACAGCGAGGATGAGAGGAAGGAGAATAGAAGAGAGAGGATGTCAGTACTGCCAAGGAAGAGAGTTGGGAGTGGACCATATCCTTAGGACTTCGTTTTCTACTCTGAGTATCTCC